CATATTATGCATAGGAGTACAGCCTTGTTCACGGCAACACAACACATCCTGAATATAAGTGAAGCATTTTAAGTTCACCGTTAGGTCACCAGATAGATATCGGAGTCTTCTTAATCCCTCGGGACGGTATGAGATAGTACACTTAAAATAAGCCATGCCTGATCCCTTTCTCACCCTTACGTGCACATGTGATTACCCTATCATGCATACTGGACGCTATGTAACCACTCTATTACTTATGGAGCTGAGCCTTTTTGAGGAGAAGCCAAATCTGCAGCTATTCAAGAATTTCCCAGCATTTTATGGAAACCGAAGGTTCATTTCCGTGTTCACAAGAGCCCTCCACTGGTCCCTATCGTGAGCCAGATCATTCCAATCCATACCAACCCATCCTATCTCTCTAAGATCCATTTTAATATTGTTCACCCACCTACGCCTTGGTCCTCCCAGTGGTTTCTTTCCTTCTGGCTTTCCCACCAATATCCTATATGCATTCCTCGTATCCGCTATTAGTGCTACACGCTCTGCCCACCTCATCCTCCACCATTCTAATTATACCTGGGGAAGAGTACAAGTTATGAAGTTCCTCATTATGGAGCCGTAACCACACTATACAGAGTGTAAATAAATATATCTTACAACGCTCTGTGGCAGATAGACGGGTTCAATGTGATCATATTTTGTCAATACTCCCGTGTCCGGAAACGCTTTGCTTACGCGTCAGGATCTCTGAAATGTGAAGGAGGACGCCCTCACCTCTTACCTCTGAGGCTTACTGGTGATATTTACCTAACATTTCTCCAAGAGACCTTACCCGAGCTGCTGGAAATGTCTTTGGAAGTCCGTCGCGAAATGTGGTTCCAGCATGATGGCGCCCCGGCGCACCGCACTAATGTCGTCCGTGAGTACTTGGATGAAACCGTTGGCAACAGATGGGTCCGACGTGGAGGCCCAATAATCTGACCCGCTCCCCTGATTTGACTCCATTGGATTTCTTTCTCTGGGGGTACTTGCAAAGTCTGGTGTACGAGACTCCAGTGGAGACACAACATGATCTTGTGGCAAGAATTGCAGCAGCAGCTGAAGCCATCCGGGAAATGCCGGGAATCTTTCAAAGAGGTCAACGTAACATGGCCAGACGGTGCAGAACATGTAATAAAGTCATGCGGCCGCCATTTTGAGCAACTTTTACAATGTAAAACAACGATAACATCCCCTAAATCTTACGCAACCTCTCGGAAAATCTGGCTTGCCACCGCGGTCTGGGATGTGATTCCTACAAGACTACACGGTGCCATATCTCATAAGATATATTTACACACAGGCAGTGAGGAATTCATAACGCATAAATAAGTACAGACTAAGTTAGATATGACTAGGGCCGCGTTATAGCTCAAGGGGTTAGTCGCTGGCTTCCCACCGCGACGGCCCGGGTTCGTTCCCGGTTCTGATCACGTGGGATTTGTGGTGGACAAAGTGGCGCTGGGCAGGTTTTCTCCGAGTACTTCGGTTTCCCCTGCCAATCTTCATTCCACCAATTGCTCCACAATCACCCTCACATATCATCTGGGGCTGGTACAATAGGCCAGAAGTGGCCGCAGTAAAAGGGACTTAGTCCCACCCCACTAGCAATAAAAAAATACACCGTCTATAATTTAGCACTGCTAAATTTCCTTAGATACTATCGAGCATCAGGTTTCCCCACTTGTCTTTATGTAACGATGGTTTGTTGTTTACTTGTCCGTTTGTCACAGTTCTCAAGTCCTGACTGTGCAGCATTCTGATGGCTTTTGATTTTTGTGATCTGTGTTAATCCACATCGGTGAATTTAGGCGGTGTTTTGAGAAAGAAATTGTGCTTTTGTGGAAGCACTACTCAATGAAAACGTATACCGAGAGCAGACGTAGACGCTGTACTCATTCCAGAGTTCAGAATTAGATTGAGGTGAGTGATCAGGCTCACGCTTCGGCCATTTGAACCCCCCCAGAAAGAACACAGTTACTCAAAACACACCGTGGCCCAGCAGTTGGCGCAAATGAGAGCACATTTTTCAGAGACCTGTCTGCACCTAACATTTCATGACACTTCCCGCACGGCCATGATGGCCGTTTTGTCAGACGACATAATTACAAAAATGGCCTCTTAAACGCCTTCGGACCGAATTTCATCCATATCATTTATTGGATCAGGGGCTAGTGTGAGCACGGCATACACGCTTAGAGAGAGACTCAAGGCGCAGTCAAGTTTTCCCTGTTGGAATCAAGTTCAAAATTGCGAGTATGCGAAGGAGCCTGAACTGTCCCGTTGAACTTATGCTAGTTACAGCGTCAATTATTTGAGAACTTCAATGCAGAATTTCTTGAGGCTTAGTTATTGCTTGACCGCCTCTGTGGTCTAGTGATCAAGAGTTCCAGAGGTCCCAGATTCGATTTTAGGCTCTACCAGACTTTCTGAGAAGTAGTGGGTCTGGAACGGGGTCCACTCAGCCCCGTGAGGATAATTGAGGAGCTACTTGAATGGAAAAATAGCGGCTCCGGTCTAGTAAACCGAGATTAACGGCCGTGGGGATTCGTTGCGCTGACCAGGCGACACTCTATATCCGCTAAAATTGGCACGAACTTCGCCGACAAGCGGAGGTCGCTCGGTCGGTTTAGTTCGCTTGCAGACTAAAGCAATGGATTTTTTTTTAGTTATTGCTTCGTGACTCCAGCAGCAATACACGATGGTTCTCTTCGCGTAATATAGCATTCTTCCCTGTAGCTTTCTTCCTTAAGCGTGGATGCCAGTTGGATAGGTGGGTACCGACATTTCGGAGGAATTCCATGTCTGCATATCCTGGAGTATATTTGAAGATGGAGGCAGGATGTTCTCCTATACGGACTGAATGGCAACCCAGAAGACCACGATATGAATCTTCACTGCCGTGAAAACTTCGTACAAATTTCATTGTCATTGGGTCTTTCTATACAATATAATTATGAAAACACTTCACTGCTTCCTATGTTCCCCTACACTGTTCTTTTAAAATACGCACTGCACTTAGAAAGCATTTGTCGCTGCCCCTGATACGATAGTCACGGATTGTCTGCAACACAACTGAGCGAATGTTCTGTATTGATCGACGTCTAGCTGGAGTCTGGATCTTCGGCCGCACCCTCATCCCAGAAGACACATGGCGTCCGTCTGTCGAAAGGGGGTTGACGAGGCGTTTGTTTCACCACAGATCTGCCATTTTTGTCTTTGACGGTTACTATTGGCACTAGCACTACCACAATCGCCATAGCCAGCCGCTACCAGTACCAATACCAATACCGCTACACTCAACGCAACCACTAACACAGTTCACATCATTACTGCCATTACTAGTACTATCACTACTGCTACCATTGCTCCAATGCAACTACTACTACTACTACCACTACTCTACTACTACTACTTCTACTACTACTACTACTACTACTACTACTCCAGTGCTGTTATTGATCTAATCAAACCATGCCCAACACTTATGAGTACATATATTATAAACTTATCAGAATTTTATTCAGCATAACTACACTTGCAATTCCAACATTCAAATAATTTAAATAGAAAATAGTGAAAAAATGAACATTACAGAGTTGGTATGTGGGTACTCATGCCAGGTCTTGGTCTTTCCAGGGGAACTGGTAAAATACAACTGAACAAGAGTTTCTTTACCCTTTATAGAAACCCAAGATTAATTATCATGTTCGGAAGAACCTACAAATATACCACAGCCTGAGCTGGATAATCTAGTTTGCTCACTCATATTCAAATTTATTTATGGCCCACAAGGCCCATATTATTTTTACATCCATGGGTGTAACTCCCAAGTGGTATATTCCAATCAGGTTTCCTGACTAAAATTCTGTACGCATTTTTATCTCCTCAGATGCATATTATATGTCCTGCCCATATCCTCATTGAATGTTCGACTAAGAGTACAATTTGTGAAGCTTCTCGTCATTCAGATATACCCTTCCTACTATTAATTCCATTGTCTGGTATCCAGTCAGAGTCAGAGTCAGAGTCAGAGTTGGTTTACCATATCCAAATATTCTCCTCAGCATTATATCTATTCCCTTTCTTGGGGGTGGATTGTTTTACAACGCTCTTAGGAGGCAGACTGTATAATGCTGAATGGAAGAGTATGGAATTCCCTATGAGGATTGTTAGTGCTCGAAGAGGATCTATGTCAGGTATCTCTTGGACACAAATCACATGCATTATACTTCAATGAATCTTCTTAGTCACAGCTTTGTTAAACATCATGTCTTTAGTTACTATAGGATTCTGAAGATGGTGTATAACACACAGAGATATTGGGTTTTCGGACTTTATCCATTGTCCTGGTTTTAAGATAACTAAGAAAAACACGACGTTTCGGAAACTGGTCCAGTGATTGAGGCTAGCTCTTTCTAAGGGACCCAACAGAATAGGTGTTTTCCCTCACCTGGGGACAAAAACAGATCCAGTTTCCGAAACGTCATGTTTTTCTTAGTTATCTTAAAACCAGGATGATGGATAAAGTCCGAAAACCCAATATCTCTGTATCATGTCTTTATACCAAATGCAGTCAAAGGCCAGACTCCTGCCCCATGTCTTTGACTCAGTGCCCCATTTCCAAACAGACTTAATTCTATGGCTGTTTAAATATGGTTACCATATTGTTCTAAACTGAAAAGAAGGTAACTACAGGTTTTTTTTTATTTGATGGTAAATTATCGTTTATTGTATGCAGATGTGACAAATTTGATATGATGGTATGTTAAGTATGTCTTTAAACAAGATATTTATGTACAGTATCATTTTTTTTAAGAGCATGAACTTGATTATAGAATAATTATTTGAAATGTTTCAAAATAAATAGAAACCAGCCACTACTAAGGTAAGTCCAGTTCAGGGTATATAGTGACAGGAAGCTGTATGGACATGTGCAAACATATACGTGTATATCTCTGTATTTCTGCTTTTCACAGAGTGCACAGAACAGGCTGCTAATCAAAAATGGCAAGGTTGTGAATGAAGATGCAATGGTTGACAGTGATGTTTATATAGAAGATGGTGTTGTTAAGTAAGTACAACTTTCCTCTGAATTTGCAGCTGCTGAAGAAATATGAATTTAACCTTTTAGGTGTTTGCCAAACTAATTTCAGGTGTTTTCCATGCTATTCACCAGAAATATAAAGATCTGACTTTCTCACTTTCTTTATGCATATTTTGAGTGGGGCTAGCATAACAGCACAAGCAGTTCAAGGTGCCATCTATGGTGACACAATTTTCAGGTTAGCACATTTTATAACCTCTGTTGATTTTGGAAAGGGGCTTTTTGTTAAATAAAATTAAATTCTGCTGCTCTGTTCGTATTATGAGCATTAATTGACAACCATCTGATCATCCTATGCAACATGCAAATACAGCTGTGAATTGCAGGATTGTCATTATCTAATTCTGTAATCTCAAGCAATAGCGACACCAATAGTTTGTTGTAATCAGATGATACCACTTTTTATTACTCTTTCTTTGACTCTTCTTTTAAGAATTATGATGCCAGTAGTGATTTTTGTCACAGTGTGTGAGAAGTTCATGTTATTGTAACAAACTTTTTAAAAAGTTGGGTTGTGTTTTTAAATTGCAGTCAGGCACAGCATTTAGGCTTGCACCAGCTCATATTTCAGTTTGTAACCCTTTAGTGTTTGACCATGCAAGTCATCAGAAATCTCAAAAGAGGAACACATCATTGTATTCATACCTTCATGAGATACAGTGTCCCGTAAGGTTCAGTTCTGGGTCCATTGTTATTTCTCATTTATATAAACAATTTACCCAAAACTATAAATCATAAAACTGTACCTATATTATTTGCAGACGATACTAGTTTGTTAGTTAAAAGTTCAAACTATGCTGATCTCTGTGTACATATAAACAATGCTTTTCATACTATAAATGGATGGTTCAAAGTAAACCAACTTTCTGTAAATTTTAACAAAACCTACTACATTCAGTTTACAGCTATAAATAATAATCCTAAATCTGAAATAATAATTGTATATGATAAAAAACAAATTACATCTCTATCCAATGTTAAATTTCTTGGAATACTCATTGATGACACAATGAGCTGGTTATACCACACTGAGTGTAATCGTATTAGTTCAAAACTGAGTGCAGTCTGCTACATCATAAGATCGCTTAAACTATACATGTCCATAAATACCTTAAAAACGGTTTATCACTCTTATTTTAATTCTGTTATGGTTGACCCTTTTGGGGTAACTCACCCCAAAGTATAAACATTTTTAGAATGCAAAAGAATACAATTAGAATTATGTTGGGATGCAGAAGGAGGGATCTGTGCAGAAACATATTTAGAAAATTAGAAATCTTACCACTGGCATCTCAGTACATCCTATCTCTTATGCTCTTTGTGATAAAAAATAGAAACAAATTCATAGTAAATTCAGAGATTCATAGAATAAATAGCAGACAGCAAAATAATTTCCATCAACCTATTGTAAACTTAAGTAAATACCAAAAGGGAGTTTATTGTTTAGGAACAAAGGTCTGTAATAATCTACCACAATATACGAGTATTAAGGATATATCGAGTGACACAATGAGTTTTGAGATACAATTGAAACAGTTTTTATATTTACATTCTTTTTATTCTTTACAGGAATATTTCAGTTTTAAATCTTTTGAAGATGCAAGTAACTGTCCCTGTGTTCTAGTTTTTAGTTAATTTAGATAGACACAGTTTTTATATCACTGTATACTAGTCTTTATTTAAATTTATTATACAGTAAAACCTGCCTTAAACGGAACCTTTATTAAACGGAAATCTGTCTTAAACGGAAATATTTTCAGGTCCCTTGACTTTGGGGCTGAAAAAGATGTTAAATGACCTGGATTAAAGGTAAACTGTCTACCGGAATGCATCGTTTAGAATAATTTTAGGCATCCTATACATTCTACAGAATTTTCTTTTCCCTAACTCTTTAAAATAAGCTTCTAACGGTACCGCACTACCTGCACTGAGATTCAGCAGAACTGTTTTCCCCTTCTGGAAATTGTACTCAATAAGGGCTCCAGGCCTACAGTTTTACTTTAGTCTAGCAGTTGTCATCATGGCTACAAAGACAAGAGTTGTGCTTGATGGTAACACAAGATTAAAAGTGACTCATGCGAGTGAGCGAGATAAATTGCCTGTTAAGCAGATCATGAAGATGTTTAACGTCGGTAAAACTCAAGTGTATGAGATTCTAAAGAAGAAAACGGAAATTTTGAAGCGGTTCGAAACTTGTGCTAAAGGAAAAATAAAAAGATAACTTAAGAAAACTGCAAATGAAGACGTTAATTAAATAGTGTGGGAGCGATTTGTCAGTGTGAGGGCGAAAAATCGCCGGTTGTCGGGTCCTATGGTACAGGAATATGCTAAAAGAGTCACTGAAAAACTGGGGAAGACTGAATTCAAAGCATCTGATGGATGGAGAGTTTTCGCAAAAGACCTCGGATAGTTTTTAATGAATTTTGTGGTGAATCAAGTGATGTAAATACTGAGACCATTGAGGAATGGGAAGCTAAACTGCCATCCATAATCGAGGGATATGAACCTGAAAACATAGAGAACGGTGGTGAGACTGGACTGTTCTTCCGCGTGCTTCCGAATAAATCGCTGTCTGAAAGGCGAAAAATGTTTGGGAGGAAAACTGTGCGAAGAAAGATTGACTGTTTTTCTGTGTGGTTTTATGTCAGGTGAAATGGAGAAAACCTTAGTGATTGGCAAGGCAGCAAAGCCACAGTGCTTCCGAAACATGGACATATAGAAACTTCCCGTTGAGTGGAGATCCAACAAAAAGGCATGGATGACGTCACAGATCATGGAGGAATGGTTAGCGGTCTTCAATGGTAGAATGAAAATGCAAAACCTGCATGTTTTGTTGTTCTTGGATAATCAACATGCCACCCCCATATCGAACTTTCCAATGTGCGACTTGCTGGGTTCCCTCCAAACACCACTAGTGTTTCTCAACCAGTGGATCAGGGCATCATTCGGAATGTTAAGATCCACTATCGTAAATTATTAATGTCAATATAGATTCTCCATCATCCGCCTCTGGACTTGCAAGAACTGTCTCGGTTCTAGATGCGGTTATTTGGATAAGTCAAGTAGTAAAGAAGTTGTTACCAGAAACTGTGACAAAGTGTTTCGAAAAAACAGGATTTTCTACGGTAGAAGTTACTCCTAGTGTAGAAAATGAGAATGACCAGAAGGACTTCCAACATTGCATGAATGAAGCTGCTTTCAGTAACTTCAATGCTGAGGACTACATCAACACAGACAAAGATGTGCAAACAGAATCAGACACAATGGATATCGATGTACGAGTATTAGTTGATAATTTTAGAGAAAATCGAAAAGGAGGAGGAAGAGGAAAATGACATTGTGATAGAAGAAGAAAAGTGTAGAGCGAAGACTTATCAGGATGCTGCCAACCGTTTAAAGGTACTGCAGGAGTTTTCCATGCAATGCAATGATTTAGACATGCTTACTCTAATTTCTCAAGCTAAAGTGTTTGTGGAAAGTCAGACAGCCAAGAGAGTAAACTGCGTCCAAAAAACTGCCAGAGTTCTGGTAAAATTATAAAAAGTGAGTACTGCAATTTGTTTCTGTTCAGTGTAAAGTTTGCATGTGTTCAGTGATTATAGTGTGAATAAATTAATGAGCATGCTGTTTTGTTTTGTCTCAAATAGGTTTATGTCCTGGTTTAATTATTATAGTATACCTTGATTAAACGGAAACCTGGCTTCAGCGGAAATTTTTTCTGGTCCCTTGAGATTCCGTTTAAGACAGGTTTTACTGTACTATTAATCTATGTTATACAAAACTCATTAATGACATTGTGTTTTTACTGTTGAATTTTTAATTAATAGACTTGTATAAAACTGTACAAATTGTATAAGGTTTGCCATTACTTTTACTACTAAAATTAAATTATTTATTATATTGTATATGTTTATCAGTATTTTATTACAAATGTGTATGCAATTGGATGACAACTATAATTCTTAGTTGTGACTGTAACTAGGACGATCTCCACAACTGCACGAGAATATATTCTCGACAGGATTTATGGAAGGTGAATAAGTGAATGAATGAATGAGACATTTTATCAAAACTGTTGAAAGATTGACATGGTGCACGAGATATCTGGGAAACAAATGGTGTTAGAAATGAAGCTGGGATCATAATATGCCTAAATGAGTTCCCTATATGTTGCAACATCCTGAAATTGGATAGAACTGGTTGCCGCACTCTCCTGTAGTTTCTTCAGCATTTATGCAACAAGGAGTTATTTTAGTACTATTTACTAAATAAATTAAAAGTTTCTTAAAAGATTTATTTTCCAAATCCTGAAGTGGTAAATGATATAATGATACAAATTCCATCCTGAAGTGGATTTAATCATGTTTTTAATAAAAGAATCTTTTTTTATAAACACTAAAATGAAATCCTTTTAAATCAGTGAAGGGCTGTAATTTAGTTATGGGTAGCAGTGAATCTAAACTTGTCTCTTAATTTTGAAGGCTGGCTGATTTAATATATGTGGTATCCTCTGATTGGCACATGGTTTTCCCTTATATCTTGTAAAATAAGGGACTTTTGAGTTACATATATCTAGAGGCTGTAAATATGTCTTTAAAGCAGTGTTCCTGATTTCTTTTCCAGTTAGTATTCCTCTTGGTCTCAGACTGAACTTTCACATACCCCTCTGTTTCCTTCACAGTGAAACGTATACATGATGACACATCACATACCCCGTTTCAATGGGGACTTTCTTTTTTTTCAGACTATGTGTTAGCGTGTCTTGTAACACAACGTGATGCTATGAACATGATGAGATACAGAAAGGTTTTATTTTAAAATAAAATTTCTTTAGTCCATGCAAAGAAAACTTTATACAAAATATAGTTGTCAGTATGCTGTTTAGGCCATTTTGACTGGTGTTTGACAGTGTATAAAGATATCTCACATTAATTCTTATAGGTTTTCTACTCCTTGGGGGTTACATATCCACAGTTTAGGACCACTGCATTAGAGCTTCTGAACAAGTGAATGACTGAACTAGGCAAATCTTTGTTCATGCATAAATACCAACATGAAATCCTTTCAAATCAGCAAAGTGTTGTTTACTTGTGTATAGCAGTGGCTCTTAACCAGTGAAAAAGTAGTGTTTCTCAGTCTTCTGGAGGATGCCCTCGTATTCTGATGTAATATGGAAGGCATACTGTAATTGGTGTCTGATCTGAATGGGACCAAAGAAATTAATTAAATTTTTGCAAACTGTAAATTAAGGATGGATATGTTTTTTTTAAGTAGCAGCACTAAGATATGTTCCCTTTGGGAATTTTCGGAATTTCACTTCAGACTAACCTAAACATATTTCTTGAGCCTGGTTGTAAGGATAATTTTATTTATTTATTAATATAACTTTGGAAATTCAAAAAATTTCACAGAAATACTTCTTTCAGCTCACATAATTATTTTATAAATGTTCTACATATGTACATGTACCTGTGATTGTACTCAGTTTTACATGACTGCTCTTAATAATTACTTATTATCATCAGGAAGATGTTCTGTATTAATCACATCTTTCCTTTACATGTCAGGCAAAAAAATTCTATAATCATAAAAAAAGTCCAAGATTCTACGTTGAGCAATACTAGTTCAGCTTCCACCCCATGAGTTTACTTCGGCAAATTGTTTATGTGGTTTAATGAAGTAAGGCCTAAGGTCAGGTATGGCCTGGGTTAAATAGAGGTCATTAATGCCGTAACTGTTTAAATTAAATTAAAAAAAAATACTATCTAGTGCACCTAGTTTTTTTTTTTAGCAAGTAATCATAAAGCTCAATATGTTTTCAAGCATTCAGTTATAAAAGAAAAATACATGAACTGATTAAGTTTTTCATGAATAATTTGAAATCTCTTCATGCAATACTTATGACGTTAAGAATTAGCATCATATAAGCCAGAGAAGTATGAATGTAAATTCTATATAACGTATTATAGAAGATAGTGTGATGTGGAAACACGATTATCCAAATCTTGTTTTGCATCTATTTTATCCTCACTTGCAGCATGTTCTTAAGCAGTGTATGTATGTATGTATACTGCTGATGTTGGAATGACAGCAGCATGGGCAGTCACACAGAATTTACATTCATATTTCAGCGACTCAAGTTACGCTAATTTTTATATCTCATATATTTTATTTATAGGTATATTTTAAATAATTCATGTACATTATAATCAGAGTGAACTTGTTGAACTGGATGATCTAGAAGGTGACTGTATATGGTTGAAACATGTTATGCGTTATGATTGCTTATTAATTAAAAAACTAAATGCATGAGGATTGTATTTCTTATGTTTAATTTAAAAGCTTGGGTTTAATTCTTATCAGCGTACATCTGGGTTGGTATAACAATTGGCTTTGGGCTGCATGACAGAGGGATTGAAGTTTGATTCCCAGTGGGGTTAAAAATTTTCTCTTCATGTCATGGAGACCGGCTCTGAGGCTCACCCAACCCCCTGTTGAACGTGTATCAGGTGTTCTTTCCCTGGGGGTAAAGTGGCATGGGCGCTAAGCTGACTGTTCACCTCCAACTAGTGCCAAGGTCAAGAAAATGTGGATCTATACACCCAATCCCCCATACCCTTTCATGGCATAGTGCTTAATTAAATAAGCAGAAGGACAACTTTTATCTTTTTTAACCTTTTAGGGTGTATACCTGTCCATCTGTATGCTGGGAGTTCTGTCTCTTTTTATAATCTTAAAATAATTAGATAAATAAATTATTCCTGCTTGAAATAATGCACTTGGATCAAGTAATGTCTTGGACTGATGAAGGGTTGGGCAGATGGTGATGATAGTGGTAGTAGCAGTGGTAGTTGCAGCAAGGATTCCAGGATCCTTCATAGTTCTTCCTACTTTAGTACACATTACTTTTACAGAATTTTAAATTTCTTGATATAATTGAATTCTAGGATACCTGAAGTTATAAGTAACAATAGAAGGCAATTTACCAAATAATACTAATAGACTTATGCAGCAGCACTTAAAATCACATACATAGGATTGAAATAATCTTCTGATTTTCAGGCAGTTGGGGCGGAACTTGATAATCCCCGGAGGAACAAGAATTATAGACGCTAGAGGAAAATATGTCATTCCAGGTAATCTCCAAATACTAATTGGTTTTCCTAGTGCATAGTGCAAGTGCAGAATGATATTAGAAACCATCTTTCATTTTTTAGAAGCATTCACAGCCCTGTGGAGTGTCTATTAGATTTGCCCAGTTTGTCAATCTGTATGCATGAAACAACATGAGAACTGTTTAACAGATTTTGATTAAATTTGGTATTGGGGAGATTTAATAAACTATATTGACATTCCAATTTCGATTAAAATTGGACAAAAATAACAACCACTGTACTTGTTGATCTACATGCATTTCTACTTATATCTCAGGAATAACTTCATGAAATATTTAATGGAGCAAAACATGTTTCCTGAAAAGGCTGTAGAGAGAAATGAAAGACACATTTTATGTCCAATACACTCTTTCCAATCCATAAAGTTTCTTTCCATGAGATTTGCGGTTTTTGAGATAAGCAAAGGTGGCACTATTATATATTGATATAGTCACTGGTTTGATTCTTAGTAGTTAACAGAGTTATGGATGTTTCTGGCTGTAGTTCAGTGCACGTGTGCAAGCAGTTATGGACACGTTCAGATGGAAACGTGTTCACTAATGGTGCTGTAGCTGGCACAGTGTGCAGTAAGGTTGTGTGTGTGTGCGCGCACGCACGCGTGTTTTGCATCCAACTGTTATTCATTACTGATTCTAAATGTTAACATAACATTTATGTTTTAAAGTGAAGAGTGTGTCCTCTCTGTATGGTTCTTCCAATGGCAGTGAAAATGCTGCCGCTAGAGAATATGAATGATGATTTCCAAAATTAAGAGTCTGAGATTGGCAGCTGTTTCGTACAATCCCTTGCCACCCACTTTCAACTTCCTTTCGACTTCTTAAAATTTTCATTGACTTTCAGCTAATGGTGAATATTGCATGCTAATTTGTTGGCTATAAGGGAAGAGGGCAGCACATTCTTAACTTTTCTGAAACAAGATGTTTCTGAAATTACAGATTGTCACACCCCTTTCTCACATTAGCTGTATTTTCTTTCCCTATAAATTTGAAGTTCATGGATGTTAGCATATCATTATGAGTCCTGTTGCAGAATGTGCCTGTTACGTATACACTGTGTACATTTACAATCTTGTTATAGCAGTAAAAGGTATAACTGTGCATCATCATTTAAAAAGAAGTAACAAATGTATTTTATTAAGAATTATTTCTTTGAATATATAAGATCGCTATAGCTATGGAAGTCACATGACAGGTTAGGTTTTCACAAAGTCTGTGCACGATGGGTGCCGCACATTCTGACCCCACAACACAAGATGCAAAGAATGGGTCTGGCATTACAGCATCTCAATCGCTACCATGATGAAGGACACGATATGCTAGCCCAAATTGTCACAGGTGATGAGTCTTGCTCCAAGCGACTTCCATTTGTTCGGCCCTCTTTAAACATCATCTTTCGGCTGAATATTTTCCTGATGATGAAGCTATAGAAAGGGAAGTCACTGCCTGGTTCCGACAGCAGCCCAAAGGATTTTATGCTGCTGGTTTTCAGGGGCTTGTGAAATGATGGGACAAGTGCCTCAATGTACAGGGAGATTATGTTTAGAAATAAAAGCATTTTTCAAATCAGCACTCTTTATTTGTTTAAGTTCTATATCCATTTGTAACTTACTTATTGACTTACCCTAGCAGCCTCCGTAGTCTAGAGGTGACGTTCCCACCTCATGACTCGTAGTACGCGGGTTCAAATACCCGGTGGAGGTCATCAAATTTTTGAAGGGCGGAAAAATTCAGGGAAGAAAGTCCTCCGGGAGGGACTTTAAGCCGTGGGTCCCGTGTCATAGCTTTACGGCACGTAAAAGAACCTCATGTCTCCAAAAGAAGCCACTGAGCAAAATTACGGACGTTTCCCGCCCAACAGTAGTCTCTAATACCTCTGGTAGATGGGGGAAGCATTATAGATACCACTCAACTAGTAGAGGCCGATCTCGCTGGCTGGGCGGGACTGATGGTAAGCACCAGTACCAGTAGGATATAGAGACTGGTAGAATATCATAGAGGGAAGCACAATGGACCAAGACAGGTCTAAGTGCATGGGGAAACCCACCCTCTCCAATAACTAACTAACTATTGACTTACCCTCGCATATAGGAGTGATATAGAGTAATGTAGATTTATGTCACAGCTATGCTGTGTATATATGTGAAATAATAAATGCACAGGTGTTGGCTTCATCTGTATCACTCACAAGTATGAACCACATAGCATTATCACTGAGGCTACAATTAAGTGATGGTCTGGGCTGGGTGAAGAAGCGCAGAAGATTTGGGTGTATGTTATCAACTGTAGAGTAAAGGTAGAAAGTAAAAGGGCTACCAGAGCCACTGGAAATATGTAAATGAAAAAAAAAATTGTATTGAGGGCCTGTTTGTTTTTATGGGTGTCTTGACTAATGGCCTAATTTTTTCAGAAACTGGTCTCACAGTTCAAAGGCCATCCAAGATAGCACAAAAATGAATTGGTGGGCAAGGTAAAAGGTCAGGAGTTCTTTCAGTGAGGAAGTGTAGAGCCACATATAATCTTATTCATTTGCAGTAGAATAAAGCTCAAACTTGCATTGTCAAACCAATAATCCATAGGAATTATATCTGTGTAACTACATTTTACAAATTAAGAGGGGATGGAGCGTAGCTGCAAATACATTGAATAAGCAGTCACAGCTGGCTGACTAAGGTTGGTAGGTGTGCAAGGTAGGTGTGCAGGGAGCTAACAACTCCTTACCTCAAAAACTAGCATGTTACAAAGTGTTGCACTGGGTCTCAAATTTGGATGGTGAAATTGTATTTCACAATTATATTATTTATGCATAAAATATTTTTGTGTATTATGTATCTATAATCAGTGTCAAGTACATATGTAACTTTTGAAATTATGAGAGAATTTTCATATATTAATATACAGGAGAAGCTAGGCATGCATTCAAAATTTTGGTAGAAAATCTTCTTTGCTGTTTGGAAGTAAAGTGTTACACACGACACAAAAACAACATTTTTAGGTACAAAGTATAATCTTGAAATGAAGACTGTACATGTATTTGCTACCTCAGTACTGGACAGATCAGTAGAATTTGTCTGTCACAGCTAGTTCTAAGGTGGCTGTGGTAAGGATTATTTTGTTATTTCTTAATTGACATCAAGTATGACATGTTAATTCTGTGTCCTGACTGGCTGTTTGAGTGGTTAGCTCAGAACACAAAGTCAGATTGTTAACCACTGTGAGCATTAAATGGCTGTGACAATGATTCACTGGTTATTTATTAATTAGCAATAAGTATGAAATGTGAAGATGATTTCATTTTGACTAATTGGTCCTGATTGGTTTAAGTGTATACAAAATGATAAAGTTAATGTAGTTCTCATACAGCTGACCAGTTATGAAGATTCAAGAGTCTAGCTTTTCTAATGTATGAAAAGGAAGATGTTGCTGTGAGAAACGTGTTCTGGTTGAAATCTTACAATGAAACAAACTTTAAATGTGTTCCTCATATATGTTATGTTCCAATTTATATTTCATAACATAATTTGTACTCATACATAATTACTTGGGGGCACGCAGTAGCATAGTTGGTTGAGCCACTAAGCTACAAGCCAGAAGGTCGCGGGTTCAAGTCCAATGAGGTCATTGAATTTTTTTCAACTGACCTAATCTCTCCAGCCACACTATGGCCCTGGGGTCGACTCAGCCTCTAACAGAAATGAGAACCAGGAATTACTTAAATAATTTTCCTGGGGTGTAAAGCATACAACCTTACTGCCATCTTTGAGCCAATTGTCTAGATAATGTGGGACACTCAACGTCTCACAAGTCTATGGGCCTTCACGGCCTGTTAAAGGGATAGCTTTACTTTTTTTTTTACTTTTACATAATTACCTTCATAATAAGACCTACATGAGTAGTTTTAACAACCTGCAAGACATGTAAACTCAGTGTAGAATTTCTGCTGCATTGAATAAATTTTTCCAGTCCCGCTTGTGCCTTATTCATACACTGTTATCAGTATTATTAACCCTGCATAAGTTCAGCATCACTCCATAACCCATGAACATTGCTGATTGGCAGTATAATCTGCAAATAATCCTCTCTAGCATTGCCCACTGCATTTAATTCAGATTCCAAAGAACTGTTTCTAAACAGAGAAGTGACTTTTTGATGCCATTTTCTGGTAAGAAATATATTTCAGTATGGAATTTGATCATTCTAATTATACTCTTCTCCAAGTATATTTAGAATGATCAAGTCAAGGAGGATGAGGTGGGCAGGTCATGTAGCGTGAATGGGCGAGACGAGGAATGCATATAGGATATTGGTGGGAAAGCCAGAAGGAAGGAGACCACAGGGAAGACCAAGATGTAGGTGGGTAGACAATATTAGAATGGATTGTAGAGACATAGGATGGGATGGTATGGATTGAATAGATCTGGCTCAGGATAGGGACCATTGGAGGGCTCTTGTGAACATGGAGATGAACCTTCGGGTTCCATAAAATGCTGGGAAATTCTTGAGTAGCTGCAGAATTGGCGGTTCCTCAAGAAGGGCTCAGCTCTATGAGTAAGTAAGTAAGTAAGATTGAATAAGAATTATAAGGTTAGACTTTATTGTTGTTTTCCATGCTCAAGATTGTATTTTTAGTATAGATATTACAATTATTAGCATGTGATGTTATTGCCATCGGTTCCAGTTTTAAGTGAATACATGAAATATATTTTTGAACAGGTGGCATTGACCCACACACGCACTTGCAGCTGGAGTTTATGGGAGGAGTAAGTGCTGATGACTTCTACCAAGGGACAAAAGCGGCACTGGCTGGAGGGACCACCATGATAAGTAAGTTTATGCAATAGTTGCCAGCTTCCCACCGCAGTGGCGTGGGTTCGATCCTGGGACTGGTCAAGTGGGATTTGTGGTGGACGAAGTGGCACTGGGGCGGGTTTTCTCTGAGTACTTCAGTTTGCCCTACCAATCTTCATTCCACACAAATTCTCCATTATCATAATCACCTGGGGCAGGCTACAATAGGCCACTCAGTGGCAGACGTGCCGAGTGGACCAAGTTGGACTCCACCCCCTACTAAGCGATTTAAAAAAAAAGTTTATGCAACTGTGCGCACACACTGTATTACATTTTAACCCCCCCCCAAAAAATCTGTTTCACCTCTTACCTCTTTTGACAATGTTAACATTTTTAGTCTGTCACATATATTATGTGTAATGCATTGTTTCAGTTTTGGGTTGGGTTGGACTAGTATTTTCATGACTTGGTAGATGCGACAGATCAATAGAAACATCCAAGGGAATGACAAGACCAATGCATGTTATAAAGAAAATGAATACAATGCAGGCTCAGGAATCATTCTTACATGTATCATTGTTTTGAATAATAAGTCATGACATGTGAAAGAAAACTTTAAAAGTTTGTTCAATAAGAGGAAGTGGTTCAGAAGTAAGACAGCATCTTGCTTTGTCTGTGTTTATTTCAAGCACTGATTTGAATTTTTTCATCTCATTTTTAATTAATTTTTGTCATGTGAGCAAATGTGAAACATTGATGTAGGTTGTGGCTTTTCTGTCCTTTTTCATGCATTTTCTAAATCTCAGGGGAAGAAATATTCTGTTCTTCTGCTGATACCTCCTGGTTGGTGATTTCTCACTACTTTGTCTGCTCACCTTTGTGTTTGACAGAATGACTGCTTACCTTAGTAACCGGTCCTCTGGATATTAAGACCACAGATTTGTGAAGGCACAAACTCTCCAGTCCTGCCGTAAAATTAAATAAGTTACATTAATTAGGCCAGAACTGAAACCCATGTCTTTGCTTGTCTGATTTTTAATTCATTTTTTTGTCATGTGAGCAAATGTGAAACATTGATATAGATTGTGGCTTTTCTATCTCTCTTTTTTTTGTTCATTTTTTAAATCTCAGGGGAAGAAATATTTATTTGCTTCTAACATGTCCATTTGCTGTAGTTCTCACTACTCAGTTCATTCTTTGGAATAAGCTACAAGGAAAGGCAGTAATAATTACTTAAATATTTCACACTTCTTGATCGTACACTAAACTTACATCAGCATATGACACTAAGTTAAATAGAATTGTAGTATAGGTCATATAACATCAGATAAAATATATTTAAAATATTAAAACTGAAATCATTTAGGTGGAAGAAAATTAAAACATTCATTATCACAAATGAAACAGATTGCTGTAGTTTAGAATTGAAACACATCATATTAATTGTATGAAGCTCCTGCATTATATCATACTCTCATAGAAGTCCTGTATCAGACACACTAAGATATTTCTCTCGCTTTATGACTTGTCAAAATGTGTAGAGTGTAGAGCTTGACCAGAACTGTAGAACTCTGCAGCACATAATGCAGTTTCTATACCATGAAGCACTGTATTAAAATATCACATAACCCTTAGTGGTCTTGGTGTAAAATTAAAAATATCAGACACCTTCTCACATTTAATCTTAAGTACCGATGCAAATCTTTTTCTCAAAATCTCTCAAAAGAAAAAACAAACAAACAAACAAACAAACAAGCTCCATGTCCTGTAGTCCACAAGTGAACTATTCTGACTGAGCAACCGCCACTAGTCAGCGAAGTTAGTGAAAAGGTTTGCAGATAGAAGGTGTCACATGGACAGCGCAATGGATCCCCATGGCCGTTAATCTCGGTTTTCTAGATCAGAGTCACTATTTCCTTGAAATAACTCCTCAGTTATCCTCACGAGGCTGAGTGGACCCTGTTCCAGACCCACTACTTCTCAGAAAATCTGGTAGGGCCAAGAATCGAACCCTGGACCTCTGGATCTGTAACCAGAAATTCTGACCACTAGACCACAGAGGCAGTTGAAAGGAATACAAAAATAAAATAAATTAATTAAAAGGATTTCAGAAGAAGGATACTGAAAAATTATGGGGCTGAGCATAAACTAAGTGATTATGTTTTTGTAAATTTCCAATTCATACATCCCACCTCTTAAATATGTGAAATATATACCCCCTCCCCTCTTTCTTTTAAAGATTAACTTACATGGAGCGTTAATAAGAGCATACAAATATACAAATAAGTGAATGGGATTGACTGACTGACTGATTTCAATTGATGGATGCATAGTAATTTCCCCCCAAATGTCACCATTTTATCATAATCACTGTAATACATTCTTTCAATGTTCATAGTTTCAACATTGAGATGGTCAAAGCAAGCAGTGATAGTAGAGGCTATCTTGTTATGGTTTGCTGTATGAATTAGTTTTGTATATTTAAACAATAAGAAAGTTATTTTTACAGTAGCATATAATGACATAGCTCATGAAGTAATATTTTTTTCTCTGAAAATCAGACTGTTACAGAAATATACTTTAAAGTGGTGAACAAGATGCTGACTTTCCTTGCTTGTGAGCAAAGTAGCAATTTTCTGTCCCTCTCAAACAATAAACTCTGTAGCATAATATTTTCAAAAATGCCTGTGATTCAGTTAGGAGGGGAGTATTGTACAGTATTCTCGTAGAGTTTGGGATACCCATGAAACTAGTTAAGCTGACTAAAATGTGTTTAAAGAAAATGTATAGTAAAGTTCATGTAGGTAAACATTTGTCTGATAAATTTCCTATCCAGAATGGTCTAAAGAAGGAGATGCTTTATCGCCATTCCTTTCCATTNTTTGCTTTAGAATATGCTGTTAGGAAGGTCCAGGAAAACCAGGTGGAACTGAAATTAAACAGGACACATTAGCTGTTGGTCTATTCCGATGATGTGAATCTACTGGGTGATAATATAGATACCATAAAGAAAAACACACAAATTTTAATTGACCCATGAGGTTGGTCTAGAAGTAAACACAGAGAAAACTAAGTATATGTTGCTCTCTGGTCACCAAAATGCAGGGCAAAATCATGACATAAAGATAGGAAACAGATGTTTTGAAAATGTGTCACAGTTCAGATATTTGGGAACAACGATAACAGGTCGAAACCTGATTCAGGAGGAAA